TAGAGACGCGAATATCTCAGCATCGCGAGATCATTAACCACCACCCTTTCAGGGGGATCGGCTCCCTCTACTTTTTCGATATTTTTAGCACGGGACTGCTTGTCTCTACATTCGTCATATCAATGGCGCTCTGGGCTTGTGATTCTACTGTATTAGAGCCTACGGCCGTCGCGACTTTTACTTCTGGTATATTAGCCAGCGTTCAGAGCATCTCGTTGATCGGGACATACCAGCAGACCTCAGCTACCCAACCGCTGATAGTGCTATCTATTATCTCCGTTGGTTTTGTCATCTTCACGTACGCAAACAGCGTGAGATGGATTGTGGTCTTCAAGCGAGTAATCCTCCTGTGTCTGCTTGTCTGTATTATATTCACATCAACAATTTATGCTATATTCAAAAATGGGCAACTGGATCGTCATCCTGTTGACGAGCTTGTTTATAGGAGAAGAGTAGAAGCAGATCGTTGGCTCCGACATGCAACCGTCAGTACTACGCTGAAGCTTGCTGTTGCAGAATACAAAGATCGTCATCAGGGGCGCGACCCGCCACCAAACTTCGACAAGTGGTTTGAGTACGCACGGCAACGTAAATCGGTTATCATCGACAAATTTGATCAGATCGAGAAAGATGTCCAACCCTTTTGGGGCATGAAGCCACAACAGATCCAGGAGGGCTTAGAAAAGCTGTACGGGTTACCGGATATTGCGATTATTAAAATTGCCGATGGCCAAGTATCCTACAACCTGCCCGCACAGTCGCTTCACGAGGGGATAGTAGAATATGCGGCATCGATGATTTCAACATTTGTTGAACACCTCCCTCCCATGTCTATTGCTATCAATCTAAACGAGCGACCAAGGATCCTAGTTCCTTGGGATGATGTCCATAGATTAACTATGGCGGGAACTAGCGGGCGGTTCCAGCTTCTCCCTCACCGTACACGTAAACGTCAGGGAGATGAGACAAATTTGGCAAGGGATATTCCTATCGATACGGCCCAGGCTGTTCTCGAGTCGGATACCCAAACATACGTATCTCCAACGAAGTTTCGACAACTCGAAGCCTTGGCCTGCCCGCCTGGTTCCGCTGCACGTGGAGGGGTACAGTGGGACGTGAGAGATTTCTGTTCTTCGTGCGTGAAACCTCACTCCCAGGGCCAATTCTTGGAAGACTGGGAGATGTTTCTCGACCCGTGTCATCAGCCGGACATATTCAATCTTCACGACTTTCACACGACGCCTCATCTCTATGACTTGCAGCAAGATCTTTTGCCAGTCTTTAGCAGATCAAAGACGGATAGTTTCAACGATATTCTCTTCCCGCTTATAAGTCCTTACTTACGGGACCCAGACGATGTAGCGTTTGAAAAGAAGAAGGATATTGTCTTCTGGCAAGGGGAAGCCAGCGATTCGCGAGTCATAACGCACTCTTCGCTTTTCGGCGGACATCGGCATCGGTTAGTCCATCTTGCAAACAATGCCAGTGCCAACGATGCGATATCTGTACTTCTCGGCGACAAAGTTGATGGGAAGGACAAATTTAAGTACGAAAAGACGTTGCTGGAAGAGGCAAATGGCCCTCTACCTTTCCAGTTCTCTTTTACAGATGATGGGTCCTGTACGGATACAATATATTGCCAACTTCTGCGAGCAGAATTTGGCTTTAAGGAGCCGACCAAGGCATTTGATAACCGATATATCATGGTTCTAGATAGCGCGGACGGGCCGTCGCCTGATCTACTCCCGATCCTTCGGTCTAATAGCGTACCAGTGCTGTCAACTATCTTCCGCGAGTGGTATACAGAGCGGTTAATGCCGTGGGTGCACTTCGTGCCGGCCGATCTACGCTACCACGGCCTACATAGTACATTAGCATATTTCATCGGCCTCAAGAATCGAGGGCCGATCAATGGGAAATCGCGGCTTACCCAGGGCCGGTTGGAAGATGCGCGCTGGATCGCGGAGGAAGGGCGTAAATGGACTGATAAAGCTATTAGGAGGGAGGATATGGAGGTGTATATGTTCCGGTTGCTACTGGAATGGGGACGAATTATTAACGAGGATAGGGACAACATGGGCTTTGTATTGTAGGGGCAGGCGTTACAACGAGTATATATAGAGTAATATAATGTCATTAGAGCACTTTATGTATGACTTGATTTCTCTGTATATTACATAGGTAGGTAGGTACCTAGGCATGTATTGTTGATGGTAAAGGGTAACATGTACTTAGTAATTTTATGTTATTGATAGAAAAGGAATTAACCTAGGTTATTTCAATTAACTAGTTTTAGTTATAAGCTAATAACTCGTGATTTGCATAAAGCTTAACTTGAAATATTGCATGGTGTGACGTAGCCATGTCCACTCAGCCCCCGGCCTCGAGGTAGAGGTCCACTATGTAGAGGTAAGAGGTACGTACTTAGGCTAGGTACCCGATAGGCAGCTCTCTACCTAGGTAGGTACATACATACATACCTCCAATGCTCCCCACCTGAATCATCTAACCTACTATTAAACCAATCCCCCCAATCACACATCATCAACTCCAGCACCTCTACATCGACGATAGCGACGTTAACCCCCTCGGAGTAATAGCGCGGTTTACCATAGATCATTGCGATAATATTTGGAAATTAGAAATCATTAATACATCGTTTATACCAATAAGATCTCTACTATTCAATCTGTGCGCCAGGCTGTGGTGAAGACCGGACTGAAAGAAACCCCACCGACGATGGCGGTTATCGACGAAGACACATTCTCCAACATCCCGTGGAACAGCAGTAACAATGAGAGCGGGATCATTGGTTCCAGCTCATCCACGCCTACTATAGAAGCAGAACCCCCTAGCGCCCAAGCCCAACATCATGGTGCCAACTTGGAGCGCCTGGATCCCGGCCTGTCCGGCGATATTCTTGAGTGTATCGTATCCGAGCCTCGTAAGGAACAAGACGGCACTAAAGATGCGTTCGTATCATATTTAATTACTACTCATGTAAGCTTACGTTCGGGCTGCTATACCGTGGTATCATGTCTGTATACTAAATCGCCGACTTAGTCAACATTCCCCTCCTTTCAAAAATCAACCTTCACCTCCCGTCGCCGCTTTACCGATTTCGTCTTCCTCTATAAGACCCTGTCTAAGGACTACCCAGCATGCGCGGTACCGCCGCTACCAGATAAGCAGCGTATGGAATACGTGCGAGGCGATCGCTTCGGCTCAGACTTCACCAACCGACGAGGCTTCTCCCTACAACGTTTCCTCGCGCGCATCACCCTGCACCCCATCCTCCGCCGAGCGCCTATCTTCCACACCTTCCTCGAGTCCCCCGACTGGAATGCGACTATGAAGTCCCGTGCCTCTAGGACTAGCACGGCTTCCGACCAGGGAAGCGGCGGCGTCTTTGACAACTTTGCCGACACCTTCATCAACGCCTTTACCAAGGTTCACAAGCACGATAAGCGGTTCGTCGAAGTTCGTGAGAAGAGCGATAAGCTGGACGAAGACTTAGGGCACGTGGAAAAGGTTGTGGCGCGGGTCGCCCGACGGGAAGTAGACCTCGAGACGGACCTGCGGGACCTTACGGAGCAATTCCAAAAACTAATCACTCTGGAACCGGGCGTCGAGAGCGCAGTGCACGGGTTTGCAGCCAGCGTGGAGGACACGGCGACAGGGCTGAAAAAGTTGCGCGAACACACGGACCAGGATTACCTAGGTAGCCTACGAGATATGCAAGCGTACAGCCTCGCGCTGAAAAACCTGCTCAAGGCGCGCGAGCAGAAGCAACTCGATCACGAGCAACTCACCGAGTACTTGAACAAATCAACGGCGGACCGCGACTCGCTGGCTTCGGGGTACGGGTACGGGAGCGCAGGTGCGTTAGGCGGCGCCGGGAGCTTCATCCGGTCCAAGATCGAGGACGCGCGAGGCGTGGACCACGAGGCCAGCCGGCGCGAACGCCTGCGCAAGCTTGAGATGCGTATCGACGAGCTGACGACGGAAGCCGAGCGCGCGAAGAAGACAAGCCAAGCTTTCGACGAGGAGGTTGTGAAAGAGGTTGTTGATTTCGAGCGCATCAAGCGCGTCGAGCTGAAGCGACAGCTTGGTGGCCTGGCGGACGCGCATGTTGATTTTTATGGTAGCGTGGCGGATGTCTGGGAGCAGTATGTGCGGGACATGGAGAAGGAGGGATTGAGCTCGTCGGCGTACACGGGGTGATTTTGGGACGGGTCGAGAGCGGACGGGTGGTATAAGGGAAACGGAGGGGAGGGGGAAAGCGCGTAAGAAAACAGTTAAGGGGGGGAGGCATAGTGTAAGGGAGGGGGGTATGGGCGTTGGGTCGAATCGAAAGTAGCGTTCTTACATATATGCATGCATACTTGCCTTTCCTCAAGGTTAGGTCAGGTCAGGTCAAGTCAGGACGAGGCAGTCGTTGAAAGCCGGGAAGACAGATATGTGCGTGCCGTAGGCTTCAACTTATTCCGTTGAAAGGGCTTAAGACTGTCGAAAGACGGCGCGTGTGGCATATGTCAGGTACCCAGGCACGTATGTAACTTTGAAGTGGAAGTGGTTAAGGAACATTTATATCAGGGACAGACAGACAGACAGGCAGGCAGTCGGGCAAGTTACGGCGTTTCCGGGAATTCGAGTTCGAGTTCGACTTTGACTTCGGTTTTTTTTTTCAAGAAATAAAGGGATGAGAAGCAAAGAAGGGGGTTTACCTCTGCTTCTACTTCTGCTGCTGAACATTTATCTATCTACCCACCCACCCATTTATCTACCTACCTACCTACCTAATTGCAACGATGCCTTTTGTTTTGCTTTGGTTACTATGGAATTTTTGAGATGTCGAGACAACGAGGTTAGGTTATATACATAGCTGCTGTGGATTCTTCTATTCGTTGGAGTAAGTCAGGAGGCAAGGCAATTCAATTCATGGGTGTGTCTAGACTAAATATAAATAAATAAACCAAGTCTTGGGGCACATTTTGATAACTCTGTCGGTCGAATTATACTTCTACAATGTCGACAATGTACAACTCCGGTCTTATATCGACTGGCAGTTAATTATGGCTAAACGTCAAGAATTCCGTTTTCGTTTAAACGAATATTAAGATACAAAATAATCAAACATGCAAAAAGGAAATTGTTGCGACGTGGGCCTGATTCGAACAGACGCTCCCGAAGGAACAAGATTTCTAGTCTTGCGCATTAGACCACTCTGCCACCACGCCGTGGATGATTTGCTGACCAAGTGGATAGCCTTATAAGCTTGTCCCTTTACGATCCACTTACATGAATACGAATACTTCATAGGTGAGGAGTCACTTCGAAGAAGCATTTGGATAAGGTCCATATGTATGTATATAGGTATGTATATTTAATTCGCAATCCCCAAACGCCTTGCGAACCATGCCATATGCCAATATTGGTAAGTATGTATATACAGGGACAGCAGCGGTAGTAGTAGCACTATGCTACCTATGACGATTCTAGTTTCGAAGAGACATGTCTTGTTTCGAGAAGATGGTTTTTACAAAAGCTCTTTTGTCCGACTTGAGACTCTACCTCCCCTCGCTTAATAGTCTGGAGCTTTGCCTCTCCCTGTTAGCCCCTCTCCCCTCTTCCTCATCGTCGCTGTCGTCATCGTCGCGACTGGTGATGTCGAAACGATTCCTCTCCATTTCATTATCGTCTTCGTCCTCGCTGCCACCCGCAAAGGCATCATACAGCTCACCGGCACGTCGTTTCTGGTTGCCCTTCTCGCCGGTTGCGCCTATGGTATCACCGCCGTCATCAGCGTTGAGAGGCTCGAACTCGTAGTCGTCGCGGGGGTTGTTGAGGCGCTGCTTGCGACGCATGAACCAGAACCACGCGCCGAGTCCACAACAGAAGGCGACGATGAGACCGATAGAACCGTAGATCCAAGCCTGAGTGCTAGAGGAGACGCCGAATGTAGGAAGGAACGAGGGCAGCCAAGAGTTTTCAGCAGTAGTGGTCTCTGCGGCTGCAGACTCGGTACCTGTCTCAGAAGCAACACTGTCGCCCGTAGTCTTGCTAGGCTTGGTGGGGCGTTCAGGATGGTCTGTTGGAACGGCAGTCGGGTCTGCTATGTTGGTCGCATCTGGGTTTGGAGGGAGACTGGTCGTGGCGACGGGCGGAGTAGCAGTGCTTGTTACATCGTGATCTGCGTCATCGTCTTCGTTTGGCATGGGCAATAATGTAGCCTTTGAGGCGTCGATACTCTCACCCCACAGTTTAAGATGCCAGTCGATAAATTTGCCAGAGTCGTCATTCACAATGCTATCACGCACAATGAGTGTCCACTTCCCGATTCCAGATTCGCCCCTAAAATATCATTAGCTGTGAAAATACCAGATTAGAACTCGGTAAGCTTACCAGTGAACCACACTCATGAAAGTCCAGTCGTTATAACCTTCCTTGCTGACATCATGTTTACGTGTAGCAGAGATGTGGCTGACCACGTTGTCTGGACTGATGAGATCGACACTCAAGTCACCTCGGCGGCTGTGCTCGACATTCATCGTCACGGTAACGTGCTCGAGACGCTCCAGATTTGCTTCTTTAAGCATGTCCTTTGTGACTTCGAAGGTAACTAACAATCCCTTATCTCCTTGAGGGATATCTTTATTGACATGCAACCACGGGGAGTAAAACCAGGCCTGGGGCTTGACGTTTTTCCAAGACTTTGCCGTCTCTACGAGAGCGTAGCTGTCAACCTTGCCGTAACCGAAGGTATGACTGAAATTCTTGCCGATAGTGGTGAGTTGCCAATCTCCGGTGTCGAGGTCTACGGGCACCGCGCTCTGCATTGCAATATATTGCATATCTCTCCAGGATAAGTCAGGTCGTACTTCCAGAGCCAAAGCAAATATTCCAGCAGCCAGGGGCGCAGCAGCAGAGGTACCTCCATGTCCGTTATAGCACTGGTTCTCTCCAACGTCGGTCGTATGTATAGCATCACCGCTACCACTGCTGTAAGTAACAACAAGTTGGGCCGAGCATTTCTCCGAGTAGTAAGGATGCAATCCCTGTCTGTCGATGGCACCAACAGTGATACTGTAAATGCTATTCGTATACCCGTCAAAGTTGCAGTTATCTTCGCTCTGAGCACCGTTGCCGCTAGCGAAAACATATATAGAACCCTTCTCAGCACGTCCTTTCTGCACACCGTTCAACATAGCCCTCTTGATAAGAATACCGGGGGCATCCATCGACTGTCCATCATCTGGCGGGCCCCAGGAGCAAGAGTAAATATCATTGTGTTGGAAATCGTAGTTCATTGCGAGGGCTTCGTCTGCATCCGTGATCAGTTTGCTCAGAATGCGAATACCGGCAATCTTGGAATCGTATGCGACGCCGACGCCGCAGACGTCGTTCTTTGCAGCACTGACCTCGCCGGCACATCGGGTACCATGCTTATCGTCGGAAAGGGTTGGACGAGGTTCTGGTCTTTGGTCATTGAAGTCGTAACTACCAGCAGCGTAGTAGTTCGGCTTTAGATCATTGCTGTACATATCCAGCCCGTCATCCACAATAGCTACAGTTGCATTCTTGCCTGTCACGCCTGACAGCCAGACACCGGTGACATTCACGTCATGTCCAACTTGAACGGGGTTGAAAAGATGCCATTGCTCGTTGAATATCGGGTCGGAAATCCCAAGTTTCTCCATCACGAATTTTTGCTTTTCCACTGCTTTCGCATCTGGTTTGTCTTCTCTTTTCCCAGTAGGAAGATCGGCTGGCGGGGGTGGAATGACTCGCTTCTGCATGGGAGCCCGTAGCTTCTGCTTGTGGGAAGATTTTACTCCATCTAGGACATCCGCATTACCTAGCGACCGCTTGCGCCGACGCTCTTGCACAGCGCGCTTCACAATATCTTCGCTAGCTTTGGAGGTGGAAAATATATGATGACCTGGGAGTTCGCCTAGCGGGCCCTCATGTCTGAGACCTAAACGAGACGCGATTAAGCTTGGCTGAGCATCGCGTTCAAGGTGGAGGACGTAGTAGTCGCTGGAGTCGAAATCTCGGGGTTGCAGGACCGCGGTGCCTAATCCAGCCAGGCCACCGACAACCAAGCTAACCAGAGGAGAGAGCTTCATGGTGTGGGATCGAGTAGACGTCGGTCGAACCACCCCGCAGAGCGTAGAACGAGTCGGTAGTTATCGATATAGCGAACTTCAAGGAACGGAAAAGCGGATGAGATCGAGTAAAGTAGGTAGGTAATTCGATATCGAGTTAGGGGGTAAATAGGTAGTTAGGTAACCTTAGGTAGTCTTGAAGGTATTTTGAATGCAGGTAGTTACTGCTAAACGACCGGGGGAAAAAGAAATAGACGCAACAAAACACCTTCGCTCAAGGCAATGCACGATGCACGATGCACGAAACCCCTTTATGAACCGCAGAGGAACTAACTAATCAGATGAAAAAGAGGCAGTCTCCTCATCAATTGACGCAGACGAGAGTCTGCTAAGTATATATTACAACACTACCGGCTTGTTTGCCTCATGAACCGGTGAGAGTCTTGTAAAGAATGAGTGTAGATAGATGGGAGAAAGTAAAAGGTTTCACTTGTCGTTGTTAACGCGAATGCGCAAGCCAGTTGGAGGGCTGTGGCGGCGTAGGTAGGCGTAATCTAATCGTTCTTTTACGCTAACAGGCCTAATAGGCAACTCATAACGGAAAGCCAGGTGTTCCTAAACGCTTCCAAGCCACGCGCCACTTCCTTTTGGGGACTAGATTAGCAAGACTGTGGAGATCGTCTTAAGTTATAATTGGCTCCCGCCTCTTAGGCTATTAAGACCCTTAAATAGGACCTTAGTTTATTGTAATAAGCGCTTTTCCGGCGTCGAAGTATGTCATAACTGAAGCTGCGTAAGTTCCTGATTAATGCATCTACATCTTAAATTTGTAGGGTAACTTTTCTAGCGCGAGTAAAAAAAATAAAAAATAAAAAAAAGCTGATGGCAAAATCATTAATCATTATGCAAAGTCCGCGCGCTTTACTTTCAGATATGACATCACGGTCAAACGAAGATTTACAGTATGCGCATGGACATCTAATTAAAGAAGGGAGAGTTCTGTATGTACGGATCCGATGCGATCCGTTTGGAGCCACGGCTGATGCCGACGTTGGGGGCAACCTTCAATGAAACCTTCAATGAATTTCCCTAAATAGACGATACTTCAACAAGAGACAAAGACAAATAGCCTCGTTCCTCTGGCAAGAAAACAAAAAACAAACCAGTGTTATACGTCGTTCATGTATCTACATAGTATGTCTAAATGCCCCGGTTATAGAGATGTAGGTTAAAGATGTAAGTCCCTATTGATAAATCGCCCTCGTCGCAATTATCTCTTTTAGTTGTCGATCAAACAAGATGAAGCTATCCCATCTACAATAAAGCATGCTCACGGCCAGCCACCGTTGTTTCGGCTTTCCGTCTTATCACTTCGGGTTGGTGCACAACACAGTTTCACGACAAACAGATTTAGCTCCCATTCAGCTCCCATATAGCTCCCGAGGATCAACTCTGATTCCTTGGCAAAAAAAAAAAAAAAAAAAAGGGAAGTTCTTGTTCCCATATTTATCCGACTAACATATCGAATCCACTTCATATATGTACTATATGTACCTAACCTTCAAGCCGCATACGATACGATGCTAAAAACTCCGCCGGCAGGTTGACCGCTTCTTTTCCGAGAAATCAGATCCATCATATTCATGATCGGGGAATATGTGATGTCTACCTACATACCTTTTTCTCCTCCTTCATATGTAGGAGGTAGGAGGTAGGAGGTAAGAGGTAGCTTTTATTACTGATGAGATACGAGGTCAGATCTGTATCTTACCGGGTTACATGGTTTGATCCTCCCCTGTTCCGCACCAGTCGTAGTCCAGCATTCAAATGAGAAAAATCGGGAGGCTTGTAAGGCTTGGAGATCCGAAGAGGAAAAAAAAAAAAAAGATCCCTGTGAAGCTTCTTTTTTTTCCTTGCGCGAGACTGAGAAGAAGGCTGGAATGGTTTTACCAGCCAACTCATTAATTTTCTCAGCTCCCTTCAATATCCCTTCAATATAGATGATCAATAATATAACCTAGATGATCAATACACTAACTGTAATTCATATGGTCCGCGATTGCGTCTCCATAATGTTACATATGTCTTGAATGTCTTGAATACTTGAATCTGTTATCCCCCATCTCCCCCATCTCCCCCTGCATTAATTACTGGCTTCAACCACCCGAACCGCATGTGTCTGCATGGCATTGGTCTATCATGGGCACCCGCAGATGAGAGCTACTGTGTTAGTCTCGACACGCTCTCTCCCTCCCCCCAGTTCAAGTTCAGCCTGTCTTTACAGCCCAATCACCGCTGGGCCTGATAGCTAGGTACTCATAATGTCGGCGCCTTATTGGGGCCAATTGCCCCCATCAA